AAAATTTCAGGTCAGTATAGTAAATTGTAAAGACATTTATTACATACTGTATATACACTATAACTACTATGGTATACTAAAAAAATCTTTGTGCTTGGACAATTTTGAACAAATTGTTTTTTAAACAGTGTAAGAAATTAGGATTTGAATCGACTAGTCTGGTCGGACTACCAGATTAGAATATTCACTAGCCCAAAAGACATTTCACTAGCACGATTCATTTGTTCAAAACAGTTGTTTATATTGCTTCTGAAAATACAGTAGCCTGGTCAGACTTGTTACTGTAAAAAGTTGGTAGCCCGAGGAGAAATTTAGTAGTCGGGCCCTCGGACTACTGCTAATTTCGAACACTGATTAAATTATTGATTTGATATCAACTAACATAATTATTGGGATTCCAAAATGTATATCAAATAACAATTATCTTTTATCTTTCCAACATTCTGTTTCAGAAGGTCGGCCTACATTCAGATTTGTGAATGTGAATGGCAGGATATCGATTTTAAGGATGCTTTAGGGTCAATGAGGATGAAAAAGAGAGATAAAGGCTAAAATGTGAGACTGTCAATCTGACTAACCTTGAAGTGAATAAATAGAAAAATGTTTCTTTCAGTAGCATGACATTTAAGGAAGAGGTACATGATTATTTAGAAGTTATATATATGTTATTTCTTAATTATTATATTCTAATAGTTTTTTTCTTGACTTGTTTAAAGGCTGACACAGGACAGTTAATTTTAAGTCAGTGCTTCTGTCACTGGATAGACTATTGTCACAAAAAGCCAAATTTATAAAAAAGGAACTACAGTGTATTTAAATATCATCTTATACTAGAAATTAGGAACAAAATTAATAGCAAGAACAATTGTGGCATGTAACATGTATTTAGGAATTCAGCTTTCCTTTCCTTTTCACCTCAGGAGAATTCACATTAAAATAATGAATATTCACAGTAAGCACTCCGACATATCTGACATATATGATTATCTTATCTTCACTTAGCTGTCTATAGCTTATCAGAATTACTCACATTTATAAATTTAAATATTTTTGAAAAAATTGCTGCTTAGCAAATAGATAAAATACTTTGGGTGTCTGTGGCGGATTGGTTGACTTTAAACATTTAAGCCTTTCACTGCTGTAGGTTCGAGCTCTGCAAGGGTTTATGGATTATTTCATGTGAGAAAGCTATCCAGCTCATTTATGGAACATAGGTGCACCAAGGTCTTCCTATACCAGTAAAGCTGGTAATTGTGCTTTAAATTGCCCCCTCCTCCCTCCCCGAAAAAACAACTAAATAATGGAATTTTTATTTTGCAATTAACTTTTTCTAAACAAATATTTCAGGAAACAGAGGTGTTTGTATGATAGAAAAGTAAAAGCAGGAGTGATAAGGACAGATACATGTAGATGTGTCTTCATGTCGGAAACACTAGAGAAATTGAAATATTTGGGTTTTTCAAAACTTAAAAGAAATTGGAATGCCAGGATACTGCCTGCCCTTTGCGATGTTGGATAATGAGTTCTTAGATGTGATGTCAAAAGTCTCATGAATATAGTACCATGACTTAATCTAATTAAAAAAAGAAATGACATTGAGGAGAAAACTAGTCACCAGTCTTTCACCAAGAACATGAGATAACTTTCCAATATTTGAAACATCATAATCTTGCAAACTCAGAAAAAGTCAGATTGCACAAATAATCACAAATGTTATCTTTTGGTGCAATGGATTGAAAAACTGATGTTAAATGCTCCTTTATATGTAATTGTGTAGGTTGAATACCACTAAATTAATTTCTTCTTCACTCTGTTAAATTACGAAGTTACCCAAGCCAAAATACATTTGAATCACTAATTCTAAAACTACATTTTTCGTTAATAAATGAAAATGCATGTCTTTTTACAAAAAAAAGTATCCGAGTTTTTTGTTGTTATTTTTACATAACATTGTATAAAAGTAACAGTCCTTACTGAAAATTTCTGATAAAAAAATATTTTTTATTTGACATATATGAATAGCAAAGGAATTATAAAATGTCTAAACATGTTATTCTACGTTTTAATTTACTCAATAAAAATGATTTTAGAAGAAAAACAAAGAACCGAAATTATCTACTCGCGCGTGCTAAAAATGTGCTTTTTACGTACCTCTTCCAGGCCCTCACAAAATTACCCGTCTTGTTTCTAAATATAACTTTTATGGTGATACCGGAATATCGAAGAGTTGAAGTGTATTATGCAGCCCCCAAAACACCGATTTTCGGCCGAGATTGTCTCCCAAGCCAGTAGCCGGTAAATTCCGTATACCATACGACCTACTTATAAATAGATACTATTGTATATAACCGGTTGTGAAATCTTCTAAAGTAAGGAGCCCGGTAAAGGTCATTCAATTCAAGACTATAGACGTAGACTCGTGAGTTCTTATCCTGGTACAGCCAATTTTTTTTTATTGTAATTTAAAACTGCCATTCTCTTTAAACTCGTGGAAACCTTTTTTGATGTACAGTATTTGTTTAGTACTTTTAATAACTACACACATACATGTATGTATAGCGTGTATGCGCTTAAGCATATACGATTGTATAATGTAACCGTTGAAAAATATGCTTTCAAGAGAAAAAAAAACATGTGATTGTCCGTACTTTTTTACGGAAACATTCCGAAAACAAAGGAAACAACATCGTCAACAGGATGGCAGTATCGGTAGTACAAATGACACTGTCAGTGAAATCGACTTGTCGATTATAAACGCGCTGTTATCTTTAAAGATCATGTAATGAATAAGATATATTGTATAAAAAAAACTGCTTAAATGGTATCCTAAAACCAGATGTAGTGCAATGATTTCAAATTAATTCTTGCAAGTAAATTTTAGAAAAATGTGTTTCTTCATAACGTTGTTGTGTTGGTTAGGAATCGAACCAGAGACCTTCAGATTTTTGGCCCGGCATCTGTACTTATATACAACACATTTCCTCAATGTTACATTAACAAAATATATCGATATGTTCGTTAGATACCAGTGTTTATCCAATGACCTTTACGAAAGTTTATGAATAGCCAGGTCAATATTGTTAAACTACGAAAGCCTAATAGTGTCAAATAAAATAGAAATGAAAAGGCGTTATAACTCGAATAAAGGCATTATTACGCGAATCAAAAGGTGTAATAACGCGAATAAAGGCGTTATAACGCGAATCAAAAGCGTAATAACGCAAATGAAGGCGTTATAACGCGAATCAAAAGCGTAATAACGCGAATAAAGGCGTTATAACGCGAATAAAAAAGGCGTAATAACGCGAATAAAGGCGTAGCAACGCGAATAAAGGAGTTATAACGCGAATCAAAAGGCGTAATAACCTGAATAAAGGCTTTATTACACGAATCAAAAGGCGTAATAACGCAAATAAAGGCGTTATAACGCAAATCAAAAGGTGTTATATCGCGAATAAAGGCGTAATAGCGCGAATCAAAAGTCGTAATTACGCAAATAAAGGCATTTAGACATCGACGCTAATTTTGGTTGTCACCCTTTCTAAGAAACGGACAGTTGTCAATGTAAACAAAAATATGTCATTCAGTTTAACCCTCTTATTAATACATTTGAAAACATGAGAAAACAAAATAAATATGAGACAATGTTGTTTTATTGTTGATTATATCGATAAAAACTCCATATATTTGGTTGTGAGAATAACATATAGTGCCAGTTTTTATTAACTTTAGGGCCTCCGAGACTGATGTCTAGCTCCATTTGTCTTCGATCCGATTTTATTGCTAAAGTCAAACTGAAAATTCTGAGGGTTTTATTTTGTCTTTCGCAGCGTTATTGTATTCTTTTCTTGAGTTTATAAATCTTCAATGTTAAGCTTTGTTGATTGACACTGATTACGACATTTAAACTGAAAGTTTCTACAGTTCATTCAACGTCAGCAGCCATTTTGAAAGTCACTGAGAGTTGATTACGTCATTTTGCACGTGCGCTCGTTCACTCGCCTATTATGGTAAAATAATGTCGAATAGCAAGGCTGCCGAATTTGCATAATGACCTAGATCTTACCATAATGGCCTTATAATACCTTAGATTTTGTTACTATATATAGTAACATAGGTATTAATACGCCTTTTGATTCGCGTTATCACGCCTTTATTCGCGTTATTATGCCTTTTGATTCGAGTTATAACGCCTTTATTCGCGTTATTACGCCTTTTGATTCGCGTAATAATGCCTTTATTCGCGTTATAACGCCTTTGCATTTTTATTTTTTATTCTATTTGGCTTTCGTTTTAAACAATACTAGTCCTCATAAATTTTCGCATATTATTATCATAATATTTACACATGAAAATTATACGCAAACGATTTAAATTACATGCACATTCGGAACTGCCTCGGCTATTATCTATAATAACCTCGGAAACAATACTGAATGAAAGTAGTTCTACCACGTGGTTTCAGCAGAGATAATGTAAAATTGACATCTAATGTCTGTTCCGGTACTCTTATGCTTGGTACATATGTCTTACAACAATTTGTAATTGAAATATTCTCACTGATGTTCAATATCAAACAAATCCGACTAAATGTCAACAGGTTGGTTTTTTGTACTTTCGGTTTCTACAGCCATAATAATAAATATATAAATAATGTATTGTTTGCTTTTGTACCTCTGAATTCACTTATTTAAGGTGGACTTTCACTGCATGTATTGGAAACAAACTTGTCAACAACTCCCAGCATTATATTACTATTTGTGTACATGTTTAGTTTCTTAGCGTAGGTTAGACTGAAATACCGCATCCGTTCTGTGTATTCATACTACATGTATTGTTTTCGAGGTCCTTATCCGAAGACTGGCGGAAAGGGCCGAGTAGATTGTTACATGCATTCGCATGTAAGCTGTTTCTGTATATAGCTCGTAAGCAAGAACCGAAATGTTGGGAAATGCTCAGAAGTAATATATTTAAAAGGGATGTTTTTATTACTTTGGTAGGTTCGTCACATTCTACGCTAAAAAGGTTTCAGTAAGTGGAGACATACGTCAAAATGCATTCTCGTCTGACATTGGACTTTATTTTCCGAAATTTGTTCTTTGCTTGAGAGACTTTTCGTACAACTTGGACAAAGAAAGTCCAAATGCCTACTTAGAGAGACGCCTTCACATGAGTTCTGACGAATATCGTCTCGATGAAAGAAATACATACATCCAAATTCGTGCATGTATTCGAACATTCTTCCCCCAACGCGAATGCTTTGTTTTTGATGCGCCAGTCGCTGGAAGAGTTAAACTTGCTCAATTGGAGAGTATGGACGAACGGGAATTGCTTGAGTCGTTTACAGAAGATTCAGATGTATTTATAGAAAAAATAACAAAATATCAACCAAAAATACTCCTCGATGGCAGTAGGATAAATGGCAACAGTAAGTTATATTAAGTTATTCTGTACATGATCAATTTTCTATTTTCTTTTTATAAAGAAGTTGTTTTATTGTTGCAAACATATGTGTGAACTAGTATTTTTTGGAGGAAAATACTGTCTCTGTTTTAAATTTTACTTCTTACAGAAACATACTTGAGATGATAATTGTTATTTGTTATTGTTTTATTACATTCGAATGATTAATTAAAACTTCAAATGATGATTGAAGAAAAAAATAAATAAAAACTCATCTTGGTCAAAAACAATAACAAGCGATATATTTTCTTATCATTTCAATCTTCTTGAGCACAGTTGATGATAATAATAATAATAATAATGATAATAATAATAATAATAATAATAATAATAATAACTTTATTTACCGAAGGTAACACATTAAGACAAATACAGATTTACAATGCGGCCTTCTAAAAACACACACACACACACACACACAAACACACAAACACACACACACACACACACACACACACACAAAAGAGCACATATCAATCGAAGAAAATATAACATGTAAAAGAAATGATTAAATGGTTATTACAATTTTAACATATATTAACACATATACTTAACATTTATACAATTCATTTTATTTATCATTAAACAGAACAGAACAGAACATATCTTTATTCAGACCTGTACATAGTACATCATCCTCAACACATATATATAACAACTAAATATTCTGCACATGATTAAAGCGTTACAAATCAATACAATTTTAATCTTTTTTTTTTTTTTTTTAAACATAATACTTTCATCAGTGCATCATTTTAATCTGCAATAATGAATTTAAAAGGTAAAATAACACAGTCAAAAAAACTTGAAACTAAGACAGACACCCATTATTAGAAAACATAATAATTAAAAACACATGTATGAATATAAAGAGCGTATCTTGTATATAATACATACGGACCGTGCTAAAGTTGGTTTAATAAGTATTTCTTGAAACTATTCTTTAATATTGACAATTTTGTTTTTCTTCTTATAGTCAGTGGTATGGAATTCCAAATAACCATGACATTAAATTGGAGTGTGTCATTAAAAAATAATTAGTACGTGGTTTGTAAGACGAAATTAAATTTCCGTGAAATATTGATCATAGATTATACTTTTGATTATTAAATATGATAAGTACGTCTCGGATATATTGAGGGGACATATTATTTAGTGCTTTATATACTTGGACACCGGTGTGAAAAATACATCTTTTCTTGAAAGGCAATATTTTTATTCTTTTGTATAAATTTGAATATTTGAATATATGATGATGAATATTTAATGCGTACAACATTTAAATCACACAAAAAAATTGATTTAAAAAGAATGCGATATTTAAGTACAAATTTTACTACTACCATTTTTATGTTAAAAATAAAGGTGGCGTAACTGGACCATTATTGGTTAATCATAACACTGAGAGTACTAAAGACAAGAGTTGCTAAATCACTGTCAAATAAGGTTTATTAAAGGCAAACATAAGGAAATGTTTTTGTTAGGTCATTCTCTTCATAACCACCGGCCAACGATATAGTAATGACTAAGTTATCATACACTATCTTTATTTAAATGTAAGGTATCACTGTCCTATCTACTGCTGTTTAAAAGGTTCCAAACCCTATCGTAAATGCTTCAAAATGTCTATTTGGAAATTCGATCAGGGAGATTACATTATTTACAAAATAGTATGAAAAGTATGTACTTTTGACTGGAACTCTCTCTTCCATGAAGATATTAACATTTGCGCTTCAAACGTTACTGATAAAATCTTTCAACTCTTTAAAACATATCCCTCATAAATCAATTCCCTTACTTCTTGGATGTCAATGATTTAAGAAAATTCATGAGGAAACGTAAAAGAGCATGTGACGGATATATAAGAAAAGCAGAACAAGAACAATACTGGGACATATACAAACAACTTAGAAATAAAACTACTGAACTTCTTAGAAATGCCAAAAATGCCAAAAAAACTGAAACAATAAAACTTTCAGAAAAATAAAATAAAAATAAAAATATACATAAGCTCATCTTTCTGACTATTGTAAATTACTTAAACAATTTACTACACCGTAATCGCACAATACCAGAATGATTACACTTATTGACAATGGTACTTCTATTAAATCAGATAAAAACTAGAAATGTGTCCATAGGACACGGGTGCCCCCACCGCGCCACTGTTCTGTCAAACTTTTTACTAAGTCAAGGGAAACAACTCTACAAATATTTGATAAATCCACAAGCGAAACCCCAGGTGCAAATCTAAAATATGCTGAGCAACCTGCCCATAAGGTTTAATGACTATGTCAAATCCAAGTTGAAAATTGCAAAAAAATTCTAAGTGAAGGGCAATAACTCTAAAAATACTAAATAAATCCAGACGAAAATACCTGGTGCACAACTGCACATGCTGATCAATATTTCTGTAAAGTTACATGACTCTAGGTCAAATACTTTTTGAGTTACGTGCGACACATGTTGAAAATTGCCAAATTTTACTAAGTCAAGGGCAATAACTCTGAAAATAATAAAAATATCCACAGGAAAATACCCAGGTGCACAACTACATATGCTGATCAACATTCCTGTAAAGTTTTATGACTCTATGTATAATTCTTTTCGAGTTACGTGCGACACAAGTTGAAAATTGCAAAATTTTACTAAGTCAAGGGCAATAACTCTGAAAATACTAAAAATATCCAGATGAAAATACCCAGGTGCACAACTACACATGCTGATCAACATTCCTGTAAAGTTTCATGACTCTAGGTCAAATATTTTTTGAGTTACATGCGACACAAGGCTGAAAATTGCAAAATTTTACTATGTCAAGGGCAATAACTCTGAAAATACTTAAAATATCCAGACGAAAATACCCAGGTGCACAACTACACATGCTGATCAACATTCCTGTAAGGTTTCATGACTAGGTCAAAAACTTTTTGAGTTACATGCGACACAAGTTGAAAATTGCAAAATTTTACTATGTCAAGAGCAATAACTCTGAAAATACTAAAAATATCCAGATGAAAATACCCAGGTGCACAACTACACATGCTGATCAACATTCCTGTAAAGTTTCATGACTCTAGGTCAAATACTTTTTGAGTTACATGCGACACAAAAGTGAACGGACGGACGGAAGGACGGACGGACGGACAAGGGTAAATCTAAATGCCCGCCACTAACGTGGGGGCACAACAATATGTATCGAATTATAGGCCAATATCTCTTCTTAGCACTGTCAGCAAGGTCTTAGAAAACAGTATTTACAAACATGTCTTTAATTTCTTCGTATTTAACAACTCTATAACCTCTCTACAATCTGGGCTAGCACCTCATGATTCTACTACAAACCAGCTCGTATCTATTACACATTTTGTCAAGCTCTTGATATTGGCCGTTTTCTGTGTTTATTTCTAAGGCGTTTGATCAAGTATATCACCGAGGTTTGTTATATGAATTGAAACTGACTGGTGTAGCAGATCTATTACTTGATTGGTTCTGTCGAAAAAGAAACAGAGCGTCGTACTTCCTGGAGCCGTGTCTGATATTTTCAATGTTTCTTCCGGTCTTTCACAAGGCTCCATCCTTGGTCCCCTTCTTTTTCTCGCCTATATCAATGATAAGTTGAGTGATATAAATTCCACTATTACACTATTTGCCGATGATACAAACCTGGATATAATTGTTAAAAATCTGTTTACAGCTGCGAATATTTTTAATGAACAAAGTCACTGGTGGGCAAATAAATGGCTGGTTAGTTTTAACCCACACATAACTGAATCATTATTAATTTCTCGAAAAGTCTCTAAGCCTAGCTACCACCTCTTGCAATGAACGATACTCAAATATCAAAAGTCACAACGCACAAAAGCTTGTAGAATTAGCGCTGGGGCCGCTAAACTTGTTTCTATTTCAAACTTATACACAGAAACTGGACTTGCACCGCTTAAAATCAGGAGAGGAAATCAAAGACTTAAAAGTCGCCCCGTACATTCAATCAGGGATATTATATTTCCGATCCTTAAAGATCGTTCAGCACGACATTATTGTTGTGCTTGTGGTATTTTAGTTTTGGTTAAGTCGGTGCTAAGGGGCGTGGACGGTAAGTTTGCACTTGACAGTACCGTCCATGAAAAGGCTCAATCAAACCGAGCCGGCAACATTTTCAATTTTGCCGCGTTTGGGCTTTCTTTAGGGATTCTTATTTCACTCTATTTTATCGCCACTTCAGCGTTGTTTGTGCCGTGTGGAGGCTGTAAAAAGTCGCCCCGTACATTCAATCAGGGATGTTATATTTCCGACCCTTAAAAATCGTTCAGCACGACATTATTGTTGTGCTTGTGGTATTTTAGTTCTGCTTAAGCCGGTGCTAGGGGGCGTGGACGGTAAGTTTGCACTTGACAGTACCGTCCATGAACAGGCTCAATCAAACCGAGCCGGCAACATTTTTAATTTTGCCGCGTTGGGCTTTCTTTAGGGATTCTTGTTTCACTCTATTTTACTTTATTTTGTAAGATGTAAAAAAAAACACAACTCCGTCGTACCTATCCAATTTAGTCCTTGAAAATGTTAGCGATATTACTACATATAATCTTCGCTATTCTGCCAAATCTAGATTTATACATTGCAGCTTCCAGCTTTATTCAATTTTTTTTCTTTCACTTATTCTTTCTGAATGGAATCAACACCCCCATTTTTGAATGTTTACAGAAACTCTTCATCCTTAAGTATCTTTAAAAGTAAGTTAAACTCAAATTCACAATCCCTACTATTGTCCTACTAAAGATATCTGGAACTTTGTGAAGTGTACTCCTACGTAGGAGTTCTAAACTCCTGATTATGCCGTTTTTATCTCTTACACAGGACTTATAAAGTCATACGTAGGATATACAAACTCCTATCTAGTCCTACGAGAACCGTCCAAAGACCATTTATGTATATTTTCATCAAAATTGACCCAATCGTTAAGGA